CTGTGCTTCTGTGTATGTTTCTAGGTTTTAAAAATCACAAACCCCGTCCAGTGTTGCTCAGGGGATGGAGCATCTGCCCATGGGCTAAGGGTCCCGGGTTCGATTCCGGTCAAAAGGGCACGTGCCTCGGTTGTGGGCTCCTCCCCAGCCCAGGCCCTGGTCGGGGCGCATGCAGGTGGCAACCAATCAATATGTTGCTCTCTGTCTTCCCTTCTCTCTTCCACTCTCTCTCTAAAAATCAATGGAAAAATACCCTTGGGTGGGGATTTAAAAATAAATAAATAAAATAACGCCTTTAAAAAATAACAAAAAAACAAAAGCAGGAGTCAGAGTACCTCAGTGGACCCAATGCCGTGCATGTCCCTGGGGGCAGGAGAGACGGGAGCAATAACTGTTCCCTGGGGAACACCCTTTGCTCTGAATAGATGGAAACTGCCAGGAGCCCGAGGACAAGGAAAGCGGCCTGTGCACCTGCAGCTCCCCGACAGAGCCTGCCCTGCTTCTGGTCCTGGTCATGAGCGAGTGGACGTGTGTGGTACAGGGAGGGGCCCAGGCTGGGAGTCAGCTTGAATCCGGGCTGAATCTGGGCCCCTCCAACCTCAGCGGTGGAATCTTAGGCCAGTACCTCTGGCATCCAGTTTCCTGAGTGGAAAATGGGGGTTAAAAAAACAAACCACTCAGTGAGTCTTCAGGACTAAATGACATCTAAACTGCCCAGTACAGTGCCTGGCATGGGTAGGTGCTCAGCACACATGAGTGCCCTTCCCCCCACTTCCTGGTTTTTAGGCTTCTGAAGCCAATTCTACCATCACTGCCAGGAATTCGGCTCTGCAGTCAGACTGACCCCGCCTCTGTGCCTTCCTCTACCTCTGTGTGTGAGGAGTGAAGGGAGAGCAGGACCCCCTGGCATGCTCATTCTATGTCCTGGCCTACAAAGTCCCGCTCGGCTCTGTGCCCCCGGAACCCTCCGCCCAATGCTGGCCGCCCATCGGCACGCCAGCTCCAGCCCCTGATAAGGATCAGTCAAATAAAACTGTCAGGGGAGATCACAACCTCTTTAGTCCTCCTTAACAGCCTAGGACAGTGGTCGGCAAACCGCGGCTCGCGAGCCACATGCGGCTCTTTGGCCCCTTGAGTTGCGGCTCGGCAAACTGCTCTTCCACAAAATACCGACTTCTGCGCATGGGCCACGGAGTTTAAATTGCACTGTACGTGCATGCCTGCGCGTGGTATTTTGTGGAAGACCCACACTCAAGGGGCCAAAGAGCCGCATGTGGCTCGTGAGCTGCAGTTTGCCGACCACTGGCCTAGGAGTGTGCATCACCGTATAGGAATTTTCCTAAATACTGGCTATCTATTTCAGTTGTCTTTACTGAATTTGCAAGTCCATAAATAGAAAAGCTATGCAATTTTGTCTGTAAATTCTAACAGCAGGTCAACATAAATAAGACTAAGCCACATATCTGTGTCTCTCTTTCAGCGAGATAACGGAATCAGATCCTCTCAAAGCTGGTTCAAAGTCAGGTTTAACTCTGATGTTACTTATTTCTTAAGAAAATGCAGAGAAAGCCTTGCAATGGGGCTGCATTACATGCTGCTTATGCCCAGTTACTCCATGAAATGGAACCTTACTGATGCTGTGGTAAACACCTATAACAATCTTCCCATTGGCGGCAGAGGTGTTTCCAGGTTCCAAGTTACTTACTTTCATTGCCTCCATTCATCAGATAAAACGAAGATTTTGAGGCCAAAGAGGAATAGCAGGGAAGATAAATCCTGAAAACCTCCCAAACATTTCAAAATGTATACGCTCCTTAGGCAGTGAGAAAGGATATTTGCCGCCCAGGCTTGTCTCCAGGCCGTCGGTGGAGGGGGTGGAAGCGGGTCCTCGACGGCCTCTCCACCAGCCCGTGGTGGCGGGTGCCCCGCACGCTATCGGCTTGATGAAAGGACGGCTGCAAAGAGAAGGGGAGAAGGTTGGCCTGTGACCATGAAACTGCCACTCCCTCCCAGGAACAACAACGGGTAACAAGACAA